TTATCTGCATTGCGTATTATTTGATATTACTTTATTATTAACTTTCATGTTTTCATTGTTACTTCTTCTCTCTTTGTATGCTAAACACGTAAGATACTTTGTTGGAGGTAGAACTTTCATCGTCTATCCATTTTCTTTACAATTTCCGATGCACCCACCTCTTGCCTCCTTCCCCCAATGTCTAATAAGTTTTCCCTACTCTCCAATATTCTTTGAAATCATTCCACTTTTGGACATACTCACAAATCTCACCCAGCACCAACAAACACATCACTCACCACCAACACCTACAAACACATCACTCCACCTCCTTGCCAACAAACACATCCTCCACCACCAACATCAAAGAAACACGTCCTCACCACCAGCATCCAACCGACCATCACTCACCACCAATATCAACAAAACATCACTCACCACCAACGCAACCGACCACATCACTCACCACCAGCACCCGACAGGCATACTCTGCCACCAGCATCCAGCAAACACATCACTCACCACCACCAACAAACACATCACTCACCACCACAGCATCAACAAACCCATCACTCACCACCGCAGCATCCAGCAAAACATCACTCACTTCCACCAGCACAACAAACACATCACTCCACCACCAGCAAACACATCACTCACCACCAACGTCAACAAACACATCACTCGTCACCAACAAACGCATCGCCATCACCAACACCAACAAGCACATCACTCATCACCAGCTCGACACATCACTCACCACCAACGTCAGCAAACACACATCACTCACCACCACCACCAACAAACCTGCTCACCACCAACATCAGCAAACACATCACTCACCACCAACAAACACGTACTCACCACCACCAGCATCCATCGACACATCACTCACCACCAACACCAGCAAACCACATCACTCACCTCCAACGCCAACAAACACATCACTCTTACCAACACCAACAAACACATCACTCACCACCTGCTTACCATAAACACATCACTCACCACCAACTTACACCAACAAACACATCACTCTACCAACATCCAACAAACACATCACTCACCACTAACAAACACATCACTCACTTACCAACATCAACAAACACATCACTCACCAACATCAACATCACTCACCACCAGCACACCAACAAACACATCGCTCCACACCAGCAAACACATCACGCCACCACCAACATCAAACAAACACATCACTCATCACCAACACAACAAACACTCACTCATCACCAAACCATCCTCACCAACATCACAAACACATCACTCACCACCACCACCAACAAACACACCACTCTACCAGCATCCAGCAAACACATCACTCACCACCAACGACACATCACTCACCACCAACATCAACAAACCACATCACTCACCACCAACACAACAAACACATCACTCACCTCCAACACCAACAAACACATCACTCACCACCAACACCACAAACACATCACTCACCACCAGCACCAACAAACACATCACCACCCCCACCAGCTACATCACTCACCACCAGCATCAACAAACCACATCACTCACCTAACAAACACATCACTCTACCAGCATCAACAAACACATCCTCACCACCAACATCAACAAAACATCACTCACCACCAACACCAACAAACACATCATCACCACCAACAAACACATCACTCACCACCAACATCAACAAACACATCACTCATCACCAGCAACACATCACTCATCACCAGCACCAACAAACATCACTCATCACCAACAAACACATCACTCACCACCAACATCCACAAACACATCCCTCCACCACCACCAACAAACACACCACTCACCACCAACATCAACAAACCACATCACTCACCACCAACAAACACATCACTCACCACCAACATCAACAAACACATCACTCACCACCAACACCAACAAACACATCACTCACCACCAACACCAACAAACCACATCACTCACCACCAACACCAACAAACACATCAGTCACCACCAACATCCACAAACATCACTCACCACCAACACCAACAAACACATCACTCTTACCAACACCAACAAACATCACTCACCACCAACACCAACAAACACATCACTCACCACCAACATCAAAAACACATCACTCACCACCACAACACATCACTCACCACCAACATCACAAACACATCACTCACCACCAACATCAACAAAACATCACTCACCACCAACACCAACAAACACATCACTCACCACCAACAAACACATCACTCACCACCAACATCAACAAACACATCACTCACCACCACCACCAACAAACACACCACTCACCACCAACATCAACAAACACATCACTCACCACCAACAACACATCACTCACCACCAGCATCCAAGCACATCACTCACTCATCATCAACAAACACATCACTCACCACCAACATCAACAAACACATCACTCACCACCACCACCAACAAACACACCACTCACCACCAACATCAACAAACACATCATCACCAATCAACAAAACACATCAGTCACCACCAACATCAACAAGCACATCACTCACCACCAACACCAACAAACACATCACTCACCTCCAACACCAACAAACACATCACTCACCACCAACACCAACAACAAACACATCACTCACCACCAACATCAACAAAACATCACTCACCACCAACAGCCAACAAACATACATCACTCACCACCAACAAAACACATCACTCACCACCAACATTCAACAACACATCACTCATCACCAACAAACACATCACTCACCACCAACACCAACAACAAACACATCACTCACCACCAACACCAACAAACACATCATTCACCACCAACACCAACAAACACATCACTCACCACCAACACCAACAAACACATCATTCACCACCAACACCAACAAACACATCACTCACCACCAACACCAACAAAACACATCACTCACCACCAACACCAACAAACACATCACCACCACCAACACCAACAAACACATCACTCAACACAACACCAACAAACACATCACTCACCACCAACACCAACAAACACATCACTCACCACCAACACCAACAAACACATCACTCACCACCAACACCAACAAACACATCACTCACCACCAACAATCTTCAACAAAACACATCATTCACCACCAACACTGTCAAACACATCACCACCACCAACACCAACAACAAACACATCACTCACCACCACATCAACAAACATACCATCACCACCAACACCAAGAAACACATCATTCACCACCAACACCAAATGAAACACATCACTCACCACCAACACCAACAAACACATCACTCACCACCAACACCAACAAACACATCACTCACCACCAACAAACACATCATTTCACCACCAACACCAACAAACACATCATTCACTCACCAACACCAACAAACACATCACTCACTCACCAACACCAACAAACACATCACCACTACCAACACCAACAAAACACATCACCTATCACCAACACCAACAAACACATCACTCACCACCAACAAACACATCACTCACCACCAACACCAACAAACACATCATTCACCACCAACACCAACAAACACATCACTCACCACCAACACCAACAAACACATCACTCACCACCAACACCAACAAACACATCACTCAACACAACACCAACAAACACATCACTCACCACCAACACCAACAAACACATCATTCACCACCAACACCAACAAACACATCACTCATCACCAACAGCAACAAATACATCGCTCATCACCAACACCAACAAACAATAAAGGGGGGGATAGGGGGCATTCACGAATCAGTGCAGTGTCCTTGTGGTTTGATTTTGTCGGTGCAATAGGCCTCTCCACCTACTTATAGATGTAGATACTTTGAATTAGATAGAAAACCCGCCATAAACTTCTCCATTATTAAATCTTTTTATATAAATGCATTCAGTTTGTTTATTCCTAATCTGTATATCGTTCTAGGTACTTTAGTAATCTACCCTGTGGCTGTAAATGCTATACTCTAATGCAGTGGTCCCCAACCTGTAGTCCGCGGTTTAAGGAGCCCGCAAGGGTTTTTCTAAAAAAAAAAAATTACGTATTTGGGATTCTTTGTCAGAGTGAAAATAATAAACATATGAAATAACTTGATACGACGTTAGAGAGAAAGAGAGGAACTGCCGTTTGTCCCGAGACTCATGTACAGGACCTGAGTATACCCCAGACCGGGCCCAGAGAGAGAGAACCAGCCTGAAAGAGTAAATGTAAATAGCAGGTAACTGGTAACAGTTAGACGTGTAAAACTGCAAATAACCGTATATATGAGATTTTTTTTTCTTGTAGACCCAAAGTTTTAGCGCCCTCCACTATATTTACTATGGCAAATGTTGCCCAGAGCCCACAAAAGGTTGGGGACCACTGCTCTTATGCAACAATAATTAATAACCTGAGGTATTCCTAACACTTTACTTCATATTATCATATAATGTAATGTGTAAAGTATTCATTTTAACAGTTATTGTTGTTTAGTGAAGTTTATATGAGAAAAAATTAAACATGTGATTTAATATTGTTTTTAATTATTACACATTATTAAAAGGTTGAAATAAACACCCATGTAAAAATATTTTTTTAAGGTAAAGTTACTGTTTTTACAAGTGTCTGTTTTATCGTTTCATTAAATATTTTGTTAGTTTTATGTGAACGGTTCTTGAGGAGAGACTCATCTCCGAGCCTAACTGTTATTTTATTGCATGTTTTTCTGGGGAAAGCATTAGGTATTGGTAAAGAATTATTCATTGACACTTATTCAGTAGAGAATTAATCATAATTCCAAAACAATTATGGAACCCAATAAAAAACAACTGTAGGTATTGTCTAATTCATCGAGGTCCTGATCAGTAATATTTAGATTTAAGTAAAATTTTATCATTTGTATATGCAGTACCGTATATGTAAATATTAAATGCAGGTGTATGTAAGTGTTAATATTGATGTATCAGTAATTATTGAAGGGTTAGATGCTTAACGTCCTATTCTTTATTTTTCAGCAACTGCATCATCCAAACTTGATCAATCTTATTGAAGTGTTCAGACGGAAGAGAAAACTGCACCTTGTCTTCGAGTTTTGTGACAGAACTGTCCTCAACGAGCTGGAGAGTAACCCTAAAGGGTTAGTGGTGTTCACTTTTTTCCTTCTCAAATAACCTTTTACACTCGGTAGAAAATTTCTTACCTGGTACATTATTGTGTAAGAATGACTTTAAGGAAACAATATATATAATTTTAGGCATAAAAAAATTAATGTAGCAGATGTAACCTCGTCTCAAATTAAAGCTATCTTTTTTTTTAATCAGTGTAAGTGTTAGGATTTCCTTTTTAATGGGGGGAAGATGTTGAGAACTAAGGTGAAGGACTTGGTAACTCACACATTGTCTTGTACTTTCGCTTGCTTAAATAAATTCATACCAGATGAACAACGATGTTATAGAGAAATCCGACTGTGGGAAAGAATTATGAGTAATGAGAAGTAGGAGTCTTAAACCAAGTAAACAATGTGGATTTGCTCGAAACAAGGCAAACAAAGTACTTGGATTCATACAAAGGCGTGTTAGTTACAAGACTAGCGAGGTCGTCCTAAAACTATATCTTGCGCTTGTGAGACCTCACTTGGATTATGCAGTTCAATTCTGGTCGCCGTACTATACTACAGAATGGATATAGTATCACTGAAAAGAATTCAGGGGAGAATGACAAAACTAATCCCGGGCATTAGGAACCTTGAGTACAGAGACAGGTTAAAGCATCTTAATTTGCACTCCCTCGAGAGACGTAGAGTGAGAGGCGATATGATCGAGGTGTATAAATGGAAGTCAGGGCTGAACAAAGGTGGCATTAGAAAGGTACTCAAACTATCCAACCAGGAGCGAACTCGTAACAATGGTTTTAAATTAGACAAATTAGATTTAGGCGCGAAATAGGTAAACATTGATTTGGGAATAGAGTACTGGAAGAGTGGAACAAGTTACCAAACTTCATCACTAACTCGAATACGCTGGATAGCTTCAAATATAGGTTGGATGGATATATGAACGATTGGGGTTGGGTGTAAATGGGACTGTCCACTATGAGCCAATAGGTCCGCTGCAGTTTCCTCCATTCTTATGTTCTTATGTTCTTATGCTTGTGTGAGGTGCTGGTATCCGTGTGATGTCTTGGCAACACAGCTGGCCTCACTGACCCCGGAAGATACTTCACTGTCTCTCTTTTCTCTTCTTTGTTGTCAGTGCTTTATCGTTCATTTACCTTTATCTCAACATCACTTCGTTTCCAGTTCCCATTGGCACATCCTATGTTCTTTTAATGCCATTCCCTTGTCCACATTTAGCCATTACACTTTGGTCTCTTTTTCATAACCACCGGTTCCTTTCCAGCACCATCTTCTATTTTTTTAACATTCAATCTTTTCACATTCCCACTCAAACACCTTTGTCCCTTTTCCCCTTTCATTACCTGTTTCGTTTATCCTCTTTCTACCACATTTTCCCCAGATCATTTTTTCATCTCCCTGCTCCCCGCCTCCTACCTTCAATTATCGAATTATCTATCAGTTCTAGTCCTTTCCCTCTCATTTCGCACATTCAGTTTCCAATTCCACTCTCATCTCGTCGTCCTTATCTATCCGTACATCCTTCTGCTATCACCCATTTGTATCCTCTTCTGTTATCACCAATTTGTACCCTCTTTTGCTATCACCCCTACATCTGTGAACCTAGTCCCCACAACCTGACAACAATCCTCCCAACCCCTTACCACTGACTACTCAATGCCCACAACCTCTTTCCATTGAAATGTAAAAGTTATTTTATTTTATTTTTTATTTTATTTTATTTTATTATTATTTTTTGTGGGGGAGATTTGAGTTTAATAAAAGTATAAAAGTCTGTGTTAGTTATATGTGCAAAATCAAGATAAAGAGCGATGAAGGAGATAATGTGAGGTCTTAAGAAATGATAATTATTTAAGCTGTGGAGCTTTGCAGAGAACATCCCTGTATTAAAACATCAGTTATTGAATAGTAATGGTGTGGAAAGAATGTGAGCAATGGTTCTACGAGAGCTGAAGAATTTCATATTTATAGAACTACGTAATGCGGTCACATTTATGCTGTAAGAAAAAAGAGCATGGGTGTGAGTAACATATGAAGGGTGTCGAGCCACCAGGCTTGTTCAAATCAAAATTTAACCTTGAAAAAGAAAAGAAAAAAGAGTGAATATGAATTATTTGGAAAATAAAATATTCCTCAGAGAGAGACATAATGCAACTGATCTCTGGACTGACGCATTTCAATTCCTACTATAATGACATGTATTTATTTAGAACATAATTCAGGTGATTAAACTATAATACATTATGAATGCGCACTGCACTGAACTGTTCTGCCTTTAACAGACAAAATATGACAATGGACTATTAGTTTTAATGTGCTCTTCCCTGAACTTTCAGGTTGCCAGATGAAAAGGTGAAAAAGATTGTATACCAGCTGGTGCAAGCTATTGGTTACTGCCACAAACACACCTGCATACACAGGGATGTGAAGCCAGAAAATATCCTGCTTACCAAGAGTGGAGTGGTCAAGCTCTGTGACTTTGGTTTCGCCAGGATGTTAAGTAAGTTTTATTTTATTTGGCTGCTGTGCTCTCAAAAAAATAAAAATAATTATTTGAATATACGATGCCAAATTAATAGAGTTACCAGATCAGAGTTATAGCTATTACTAATATGTTAATATGCTACCAACGAAAACACCATGCATCTTCTAAGGTAATATATATATATATATATATATATATATATATATATATATATATATATATATATATATATATATATATATATATATATATATATATATACTGTATATATATATATATATGCTGATAACCACAAGGAAAAAAGAAAACACGAAGTTCCCAAGCGCTTTCGTGTAATTCACATCTTCAGGGGTGAGTACAGACTCACCCCTGTCTGTACTCACCCCTGAAGATGTGAATTACACGAAAACGCTTGGGAACTTCGTGTTTTCTTTTTTCCTTGTGGTTATCAGCATATTCCTGGATCACGCGCACCTACAGTGATTTACTTGTAAATATATATGTGTACAGTATGTATATAATTATAATAATGATAATAATAAACGGTTTATTAATAGAGCTGCAGCCGGTGGCTGAAAATATACAAACTTACATGTGGTTTAGGCATAATGATATACAGTACGTTCAATACATTTACAGGGCTGTACAGTACATAAATCAGGAGCTGTCTATCATTTTAACAATAGATGGCAGGGGCGCACCCAGAAATTGAGTCTGGCAAGCGTAGCGAGTCCTTTCTGACTAATATTTGATGCCATTTGCACTGAATCTTAGGAAATAATCTGAGGTTGAAGATGGTGCAATTTAGCATCCTAATCTTTTTATATAGACTTATATTACAGGATAATAGAAGTCATAAATTTTTGTTTAAATATTTTATTTACACAATTTTAAAATACATGAATTTACTGCACTAAATATAGAGTATATACTATGGTTATTACTGTACTGATTGTGTAACAATCATTAAGCATTTTAATACTTGAATATAATGACTAACCAACATTGAACACTAACAGAGCTCATAAAATTTGCTTAACAGTTTTTTAACATCCGTAAAATACATTGCCTTTATTTTTCTGCAAGTACATTGGCAAATTTCATCTTCCTGGGATTTCTCTGTGCAAATGTGTCAATTACTTGGTTTATATCCACTGGTATATCTCGGTGCATGTGCAGTAATGTCAGGCCTGGCAGTTCCACTAAATGATCTTTCTGCAGAGCATGTCGTTACTGGCAGGGAGCACAGGTTAATGAGCAGGGTCCTCACGTTGGGGAACTTGGTGTCTGGGAGAGGGTGGTGGTCAGTGTAGTTGGAAGACTGGTTGGGCCCTGTTCTTTAGCTTTGTTATCCCACCTGACACGTCAGGTGTGTACCTCACTGTTGACGCTGCCAGAGGATGGCAAGTCTGCCCGGTAGAGGTCTTCGTGTTACTAAGGTGTCGCCAGGTCAGGTATGGGTTGGCCGCACCATGCAGTACCTGGAGGGGGGGGGGGTTTCCGGGCAACCAGGAAACCCCCTTGGGTGCGCCACTGGATGGGATGGTGTTATTCTTCTATCTATCAGTGCGGGCTCTTATTAACTGAATTTTGTTGTAGTGGCGGACTGCACGAGGTGGGCGGGGGACTGCAGGTGGCAGTAGGTGGCGATGACGAGGATGGTGCAGTAGTCCACTGCCAAACCCTGCTAGTGCGTGGTGGTGGAGGTCACTGAGGGATGGCATTTACAGGGTGGAGAGAGCGTTGTTGTAGCTGAAGTAGTCTGACCCGAGAATGATTCTGCAGGCCCTCTTCTGTATCTTCTCTAGCTGACGTTGTTGGGTAGAGTTGAGATAAGACGACCAGGCTGGTGACGCATACGTTAATTTAGGGAGAATAAAATCGTTGTAGATAGTCCTCAGCTCTGACCTGAGTCGTCGGTGCATGTAGAGTCGGTACGAGGCCGCCTTGATTGTGTTGTTTACATGGGCCTTCCAGTCCAGTTTGTGGTCTATAATTATACCCAGGAGTTTGGCAGACTGCACTAACTGGAGAGGATGGGCACCTACTGTAACTGCTGGAGCTTTCACTGGAGTGATGGCGGTATTGATGTGCAAGACTACAGTTTTGGTGTGATTGGTGGTGATCTTGTTCTCCGTAGTCCATGCCTGTAGCCTGTCCAGGGTGCCTTGTAGCCATGAATAGTCCGGTGAGGTGTTGTCCTTTGTAACCCCCACAGCGCAGTCATCCACATACTTCCACCTGTGAGGAGTGTTCGATAGAGCTTCGTTGATCAGGATTAGGAAGCACAGTGGTCCCATCTTGGTACCCTGGGGAACAACGCAGGTGAGGTGTTGGAATATGGAAACAGAACCTTGGTACCTCACTGCCTGACGACGCTCACTCAGGAAATCAGTGAGCCATGAGACCAGGTTGTTGAGCAGCCCTAGTGCAATGGCCTTGTTGATAACAGTGCAGTGATCAACAAGGTCAAAAGCCTTCCTGAAGCCAACAAGGGCAACGGCCAGTGATGTCTTACGTTTCTCCAATTTTTTGTGCAGAAAATCCAGGAAACCAACTAAGCAGTGTGATGTAGAGGAGGTCCTCATATTGCCAAATTGCTGTGGATCAATTGACTGATAAATACTAGCAAATGCCCATTCAAAAACAAAGTCTTCACAGAGTAGACTGGGTATGGGGGTAATGGCAACTGGTCTGAGGTCACTAAGGGACTGTGGGGTGGGGACCTTGGGGATAGGGGTGACAAATGCGGTTTTCCATTCATTAAGGCATTTGCTTTGTCTGTGGGATGCATTAATAATGGAACAAAGGGGGTGGCAAGTTCGATTGCAAACTCCTTGTAAATTTTGATTGGGAGGTCAATTGGGGTTGTAGAGCATTTGGATTTAAATTTCAGGAGTTTGTTGGCAATTTCAAATGGTTGAACACTGGGAGGGGGGAGGGGGGGAGGGGGAAGGTAAGTTGGCCGGGAGGAGAGTGAGGTCAAGACTGGGTAGGGTATGACATATGGTAGCAAAGTGGTAAGTAATTGTCTCAGCTGCCTCCTCACTAGGTAAATGAGAGATAAAAGGAAATGTAGGAGACTGGCGGTTAAGACCACAGAGATCTTTTACCTTAGAGTACCACTGACCGATGCCGACCTCCATGAGGCCGTGCACTTTCCTGGGATAATAAGACTTCTTGGCTGACTTATAATAATCATAAAAGTAATAACTAAACACTAATTATTTATATTAACAAACTACCGTTTACAACGTGGTTATCCAACACAGATAACTCGTGAACAAATAAGTTATTTTACCGTACAATTCTGAAATATCACTACCCACAATCTCACATATAAATCACTATATAATGCTTGGTGTTCTTAAAAGTCAAGCAAGGTTTACACGTTATACCACTAGAAATATAGAATAAGAGAGAAGATACTTATCTTATGACTGCTAGCCCAATAATAAAGCCACCCGGCTCTGAGAGATAAAACTAAGCCACCAGAGGTGGACGGAAATGATGTCATAAACAAAAGACGTTCAATTTGCGAATCCGCAAATAACTATCGAACACTCACTCATTCATTAGTATTCGAGACTAATGCAATAAACATTACTTTGTTTGACTAAACACATCGAAAATAAGGTGTTCCGCATCTCCTGTAGGTCACGTTCAGTGTGAGCGACAAGGGTGAGGTCGTGTGCATACTGAAACTCAGTAATGAAAGCTGCTGACACCTTTGTTCCTGCCTGGAGTCGACTTTTTTTGATAAGACCCTTCATCCGGTACTCGATGTCTACCCCGCCGGCTAAATTGGCGCTGGCACGAGAAAGGAAGGCAGCCAAGAAGATGGAAAAGAGAGTTGGTGCCATTACACACCCTTGTTTTACATCCGGTTTAGGTGGGGAAGAACTCTGACTGGGTGCCATTGTGCAAGATACTGTCGTTCATGCCATCGTGGAGTTGCCTCAAAATAAAGGTGAATTTTGGTGGGCAGCCAAAACAAATGAGGGGCCACCAGAGGGCTTCCCTGTTGACCGAGCCGAAGGCCTTGGTTAGGTCGATGAAAGCCATGTACAGGTCACATTCAGATTTTGGGAGGAAATTTTTCTTCTCAGGAAAAAGTCTGTTTAGGAGGACTCGGGCGATAATCTTGCCAGCTACAGACAGCCTCGAGATCCCATTGTAATTGCTATAGTCTGACTAGTCTCCCTTGTTCTTATAAATATTGACGATGGGGGTTGTCTTTAAGAGCTTGGGGATTTCCTCCTTTCCCAAATATTCTCCAGGAGAGAATGGAGATGGCTGGTAAGGAGAGGTCCTCCTCCTTTATACACCTCGGCTGGGATTCCATCAGTTCTTGAAACTTTGTTGTTTTTCATCTGTTTGATGGAAGTAGCTACCTCATCCAGGGATGGAGGATAACTGAGGTGGATCAGTTCTGGATGCTGAGGGATTTGCTGGGTAGTCAGGGCATCCACATCGATGTTTCAGTTGAGCAGTGAATGGTAGTGCTCTTTCCAGCGCTGATGGAGGCCTTCATCGTCTTTAATTATGGAGTTACCGTTGGATGAGTGGAGGGGGGGGGGGCTGTTCCACTAAAATGTTGTAGTAGAATTGGAAAATTCGTTCATCTTGTGCTGATCTGCAAAATTTTGTGTTTCACATGCTTTATTTTTAAACCAGTCATTCTTTAGATTGCGAAGTTCCCGCTTTGCCACCGCTTTCTTCTTGTAGAAGGTATCAGCTTTGGTCCGAGACTGAGGAGTGTTCTGCCAGTCAGTAAAGCATCACGTATATCATCAACAAGTACATTGATTGCTGGGTCATTTTCATCAAACCAGTCCTGGTGTATTCTTTCGATCTGGCCGAGGGTCTCTCTGCAGGTTTTTGTCGTGACAGTGTCAAGAATATCGGCAGTCCATTGCAACTCTCCCTCTCCACAGTCGTTGAAACACCTGCACCAATGGATCAGGAAAAGGGAGAGCCAAGATGTGTGGTTGTAGCCTGCGCTCCTGCCTCAC